AAATTTAACTTAGCTATAGATTGTAATGAATAACAAACAAGTATGCCTCATAGCAATTAAACATAACGATCATGAAAACAACTGCAAAATAATATTCAATACGCAAAATAAGAATTAAACAATAAGAAAAACTATTTAGATCTCATAATATGTGGTTTTCGAGACTTCAATTTCCTTCGACCAAGTGTAAAAGTTTAGTTACAATTCATGAATCTAAAAGAAAAATAAAGGAGAATGGAGTTTGGAGACGTTCTCTCCCGTTCTAGGGTTTTAAAATATGTATTTATAATTGTTTTCATAGTTGGTTGACTTAAATTAGGAAATCAGAAAATTTTCCCCGATTTGGCCTAGGCTAGCGTTGTCGGCTCGGCTCGGCCCTTTAAGCCACGAGCTCGTGGCTCATGGAGAAACAGCCACGAGCTCACGAGCCGAGCCGCTCGTGGCTCGTTTGCTCGTGGGCGAGCTCGGCTCAGCCCACGAGCTCACAGCCGACTCGGCTGGCTCGTGGCTCGTCAAAATTTTTTTTTTTTTATTTTTCTTAGTTTTTTTTATTTTTTAAATATTTTTTCACGAGCCCACGAGCGCTCGCCTCTTAACGAGCAGAGCCGAGCTCGGCTCGTCTACGAACCGGTCCGCTCGGCTCGAGCTCGGGCTAGTCTTTTGACGAGTCCGAGCGGCTCGTGAGCATGAACAGTACGAGTAGAGTGGTAGAGCCGACGAGCCTCTCGACTGGATTGACATCTCTAGGGCGCCCAATAGAAAATGGGGTGGCTGCTCAAACATAAATATTGGCTTCGTTAATGAAGTTTAGGGTCGGGTGGCCGGCCGACCAGCATAACTGAGCAGATTTTAGTATTTTGGTCATATCTTCCTCTTCAGATATCCGATTGAAGCGATTCAAGATGCGCTGAAAAGCTAACTCAAAGGGATACAACTTTGCTTCAGATATCATCTACCAATTCGATCGTTTTCCATGTCAAACTGAGACTGAAATTTCGATACATAACTTTTCGATTGGAAATTGATATGTGATCCTACTTCGAAGATATTTCATCCCTTTGACTTCTTTCTTCATTCAATCGACTTCTAACATTCTCAAATTTTCATCATTTGATTCGACACAATTTTTGTATATTTTCATGTTAGTCCTTGAACTTTCATTTCCTTTCACTTTAGTCAATTTTCACATATTTCTTTCAAATTACGTCATCTCCATTAAATTTTCACCTAAATCAAAATATGAACATAATAAGTACATTTTGGCACTAATTAATCATACGAGCACATAAAATAAGGAAAGAAAAATATGCATTTTGTATTCTTATGAATAACCAGTCTCAACCATTCCCTTTACGAGGTCCTTTCCTTTGGCCAACGTTTTATGTTGTGCATAAGATTTTAGTAGAATCGGGGATCTTTTCATCTCATTGTATAATATATTGCTTTAATGCTTTTACATATTTATGTACTTGGTGTATACTTGCATGTATGGGATGTACAAAATGTTCGTATATGTGAATTCTCGATATTAAAATCTTGGCATTGAGTCGAATATGGAATCTTTTTCGTTGGGGATGCAACTCTACAGCTTAACATTGACATATCTTAGTGGTACATTGACACACGGGAATCAAGAAGATTGATCTTAGAAAGAAATTTGCCATTTTTTTTGACTTTTTTTCACTTCCAACTTATTGGTAATTATGT